GAGCATTCCACAAGTCCACAAAAGACAATGTCTAGCCTTCAATTTTGCTCTTTATCCAGTAGTATGTGTTGCCTATTTATTAATCCAATGATAAACCTGAACTCAATGTGACAGATAAGCAAGCACGTGAATTTCCTAGAAAGCAGGTGCTTGTATGTGGTCACAATCGATGGTTTCAAAGAAGATTTTTCCTACCGAAAGTGTCTAGACAACTTTGTCAAGGGAAAGTATCCTGATCTTGTTGAAGAATTCATTGCAAAATATTTCGAAAATCCACGCTCTGGAGGGAACCAGGACCAAAATTCTGTGCCCTCACAAACTCCTCACGATGAATGATGAGTTGAATTTATATACATATTAATGTTGAAGTTTTGTCTTGATATTATTAATATTTGGATGAATTCTATGAAATGTTACATGGGTTTCATTCTTTGTGCAGAAAAAGACTTGGATGCATAATAATAAGAGTTTTGGAATTAATTGAATATCTTTTAGAAGTTGAAGGACTGAACTGCAAGAAGAAAGAGACTTCTTTGGGACCTAAATGAATGAATCTCAAGTTTTGAGATCTCAATGCTCATTGTACAAAACTTGGAGGATCAAATCTGAAATTTTACCATTGAAGAAATTGCAAAAGAGGCCAAAAACCCGACACGGGTGTGGTGTCGACACATAATCAGGGTGTCAACACTATGCATTACGCGTCTAGCATTATTGATTTTGTTTCCTGTTCTCTGTCGACATGTAATTAAGGGTGTTGGCACCATATGTTCATAGTCCAAAAATCCCAATTTCCTATTTTTTCTGAGTCCTACTTCTTTTCTAATAGGGTTTCTTAAACTCTATAAATACCCATTCAAAAATCAGTGTGAGGGCTTTTGGAGAGGAGACCAAGAAAGACGGTTAAGAGGAATTCAACAACAAAAGAAGAAGACTTGGGATTTTATATAGTCAAACCGGTTTGCTTGTCCTTAAATTTTATTTCATGATGTTGGATACTCGTATATTCATCATGAGATTGTTGATTCTCCTTTTTTTTTTTTTAATTATGAACTAATTTGCCATCTAAGGTTACTATGTAACATGATCAATTTAATATAAAGTTTTATGATTTTTATACTTTTAAGGTTTATTATTTTATGTAGAGTATATATGATTGTTTTTAATGCTTTTTAATGATTGGCCACCATTAAAACTGATTTGGAGAGCATAATTGAGACCGAGAAGAGATTTTATGCAATAACTTCTAATAATATATACCATAAATTGAACGAAAATTAGAGATGGACCAACGTGATTTGTGTAACATTAGTGATAAGTGGACTTAATTTTCCATATAAACTAGGGAATGTCACAGAACATACTGCATCTTTATCTATTTAAATTTACATAGAGATATAATGGGTTAATAAGTGAAGATATGTTTGATATAACTTGAGAAAGTATATTAGATAGGATAGGAAATCCCGCTGTCACATAAATAATAAATACCTTGAAAGTATGTTAATGTAAATTCTATATTAGTTGATTATGATAAAATCGGATGCCTTAGAATTTTAACTCTTGGTGTTATTTAAGTTAATTTAGTTTTTCATTTATTAGTTTAGTTATTTAGTTTAGTCAAATAATTTAATTTTAATTGTTCAAATAAAATTAGAATTAGTTAATTTTGGTACTTAGTTAGGCTACGGTCTCTGTGGAATGATATTCTATTTTCATCATTATATTACTTGAACTGACTAGCACACTTGTTAGAGTGGAATTAGCTCATCAATGAACTCAGCAGTAGCTTAGCCATCGTCTCCTAGAAGTTTCCATGCTCAAGTTATGTAAATACCTAGCATCTACTATTTTTCATTTTTGTATATATAGGGCAGATGTTCTTTCATTTATCTCCGAGCAAAATTAAGCTCAACATATTTCTGTTGAACCACTCTTTTTTCAATATACGTGAGTGGTTCATCACGACATTGTATTAGTGGCTCAATTGCAGCTTCTTTACTTTTTTTTTTTGAACAGCCAAGAAATTCATATTGATAACTTGAGTACAAGGGGTACTCTAACCCATATCCATGAACAATTTACAAGCCCTTCAGTGTTACTACCCTCTTTCAAAAATGTCCTACTTTACTTTACTAAGACAAAAAGTAGGATTGATTAACCAATCTGATAGATTAAAGTAACACTTGGGTTTCCTAGCTTTGATCCAAGCAAAAGATCTTAATTGAATAAGCCCAAAAAGATTAATCAAATTTACCTCAGCATTGTCAAAAAGCTTTTTGTTGCGAGCCGTCCACACCGTCCATAACAGTGCATTCCATATACAGTCCCACCCTTTCTTTTTGTGTGGTTTTTTGGTCCACACCCCCAAGTGTTGAAATGTTGGCCTGCATTCTTTTTGTAAAACTACTGAAATTCCCCACCACTTTGCACAAGCCTTCCACAGCCACTGAGCAACTTTGCAGTTCAAGAACAAATGGCTTGAGTCTTCCTCCTCTTCCTTACACAAAATGCATTTCTTTTCTTCCACATCTTTTATGATCCCCCGTTTGAACAAATTAATTCTAGTTGGGATTCTGTCCATTAGTACCTTCCAGTTGCAGCTTTTAGTTGCAGCTTCTTTACTTAACACTGCACCGCAGATGGATATTGTCTTGATGACTTCTTAATACTTTGACCAGACAGTGAGGGCTGGAAGCGGAGCTTCTAACACATGGTTGAGGTGGTTGGAATGAATATCTTGTTTTCTTTAATGTTCACCCAAAGTACTTGTTTATGCAAAATTCAGCTGAGATTGATGAATGCAATTTAAATGTGTTTGGTTAGATGGAATATGAATTCCATGGTCTAAGTATTTTTAAAGACAAATTGTTAAGAGGCCATAAAAGATTAAGAATGCATATTCTTTATTTTTATAAATTTCTCCTAAATTATTGCATTTAATGAATAAGTATTAGTGATCCGCATGTTCCGACTTAGTAGTATTGACCGAGTTAGTGGGATCATCTCCGTGAGTTGCAGTTTTCGAGCCTCATGGATTTCCTCTTCTTTATCCCTTTACCTCCTCCCCAATTGTAATCATGTTCAAAAAAATAAAAAAAATTAATATTTATGAACCGGGTCTTTGGATCCAAGTAGTTCATCCCTTAAACTTTAAGACAATTGTGTTAGTTTGGTTGGGGCTTCAAACCCCACCGATGCCTTGAAAAATCTCCTCCCCAAATTGTAAATTGTTCAAACAAAAAAAAATGAATAAGTATTCGTAATTTCTTCTATTCTCTTAAACTAATTTGCCATAATATTTACCGTAGAGAATGTTAAAAAGAAGCAGCTATTTGTTTTAAAAATTATGATGTCGTAATCTCTTTTTTAAAACAAAATTAATTAAAATGAGGTAATATAAGGTTTTTTTTAACTAATTTTTTTTATAAGTATGGCCGTTAAATAATTTTCTTTTTATGTATTCCTTTAATTGTTGAATGCTATGATGTGTTCTTTTCATTAGGCATATCATATTAATTAATTAAAAAAAATTTAACCTATGTCTTTAAAATATTTTTTATATTAGTTATTATTAAAAAATTAAAATTTAATATTTATTTAATTAAAATAATTCACTTGATATTAATGAAGAGATTAATGTCAATTTTTGTTATTTTTAATGGATTTATCTAATCTGTATATTAAGACAAGGTTAATGGTGTAATAAATATATTTTTTTATAATTAATTTATATTAAAAATTAAAAAATTGATATATATTTTAACATTATTAATACGTGTATAATTTTAATTAGTTAATTAATTAAATCAAAATCAACATATATACTTTTAATAAAAATTTTTATGAAAAAAATACATTTTTTTATATTCTTATCTTGTACACAAGATAAAAAAAATCCATTTTTAATATTAATTAATATAAAAATGATATATCCTTTGAGACTAGGTAGGAAAACGAAAATCCTTAACCACTTGCATTACACCAAAACTCATACCAGTACCGATTTTCACATTACACTAAAAATTTATTATTTTCATCTGTTCCCTCGAATAATAATATTTAAAGCTAAATACGTACATATCAAAAAAGGATATTTAAACCTAAATACAATTTCATTCGACTGGTTTTACAGCAACCAGTGACACTATAAATAACTGGTATAAAGGAGGAGGAAGAAGAGGGGTTTAGAGAAGAGAAGATGAATCGTTTCGTAGTCATCTCTGCTTCACTCTTCCTCTTCCTTTCGATTCTCCTTCTTCCTCTGCTCAATCCCAACTGTATGTCCAACTCTTTCTCGCTTCATTTCATTCCATATTTTTGTATGATGAACCGTCAAGTATTTGAATATAGAGGAGGGTGGCCTATCCAGGAGGTACTTCATCCATCCACTTCTTTTCTTTGTTTCATCTGGCACTCCAGTGGCGACTACATTGCCACGCCTCTTCTGTTCAAAACCAACTTCTGCCATGCCTTATTTTTATTTTTCCTTTTTTCATTCTAAAATATTTTTCACTTCATGGGCATTAGGAAATTTTAGAAAGCTGCCATCACCATGATTATTTACACTCTCTGGAGCGCAAATACTACGGCCCAAAGAATTGCAGCATTTACGGTAGGGTACTGAAATGATAAATCTCTGCTTTAATCCATTATCCAACAATTTTAATGTTTTATTTCATTTTACTTGTGAAAATGAAATATAAATGCTATAAAAATGTTGAGACTTTGTTAACTGATCTTGTTTTACTTTAGACAAATTTTGTCTTTTGGCCCTAATGCAGAATGCATCCGTAAAACAACTACATTTGTTTCCTGCAGGATGTCCTGACTCCTAACTCTGTCCTTGAAGGTTGCCACCAAATCCTGTTTCTCTGAACCAAAAAATTATGTTCAAGGACAATTAGATGGTCTTGACATTGCTGCAATGCTGCACTCTGCATCAATAAATATAGCCTATCTGGTATACTAGTCTATCTAAATACAAAAGGCTAGATAAGAATTAAGCAACCTCTTTATTACATGGTAATGAATATTATTTGAATACAATGACTGAATTAATAGCGGTATAGCACTCAAAGACAATCCACACAATCAACTATTAAAACATAAAACATAGCTAGTTCAAGTCTTCCAATGATAAATGTTTTTGCTTCAAAAACGTGACTGGAGGTACTTGACAACATTCGGCTCTAACATGAAGGCCTTGGTGAGAACATCAGGTTTAATAGCTGGATTGGATCCAAAAAGGGTATCGGCGATTGTAATTGTGCCTGGATTCTGGCTACTAAGAGCAGAAAGAGCAACAGCAGGAGTTTTCCCTATGTTGAGCTGGAAGTGAATCATACCAATAGGGAAAACAAAAACATCTCCCTTGTTCAGGACCTTAGTAAATAGACGGTTCCCATCCTGGTTGGAGGAGACAAAGCCAATGTATAGTGTGCCTTCCTGGACTACTAGAATCTCAGTTCCGCGAGGATGAGTGTGGGGCGGGTTAAGGCCACCATAAGGTGCAAAGTCAATACGAGCTAGGGATAC